CGCTCTTCAGCAATAGCAGGCAGAGAGGAAACCATCAAAGCCCATGTCTACATTTCCACCCTGCAAGCAGAGTGCAGAGAGCTTCCCATATGACATAAGCCTGTCCTTCACCAGTCATGATCAGCAGTTAAGGTACACAGTGACAGACAGTGTGCATGGAAAAAGCAATTAGTCACACTATTAAGTTGCAACTACCCAACATCATGCTCGCTCACTTAGTCTTATTGTTCTCCTCTGTCAACCCCTTTCTCCGGTCTCTCCTATTTTCCTCTCCCTGCTTCCATACAAAATCATTCAAATCATGGTTCTCTGCATCTTATCCCAAGCACCAAGGGCTTCCTTTCCGAGCGTACACATAGGCCCATTGCATGGCTCATCCCATCTTCCTCCTTTCAAAGACGATGCTGTTAGCAGAGCTGACAGGCCCACTAGCACAGTTAATACCTGTTGGCAGCTCGGATGTGATACATACTCCTGTGGTCTAAAGCTCCAGCGCACTGCAGACAGCTCAAAAAAGCAAACAGTATCTGAAACTACCTACCACTTGTGCCAGTATTATAGCACGTACAAAAGATGAGCAGAAAATTAAGTGAGACTGTTCAATTACTGTGCTCTGCCTAGCAGCATTATTCATGTCCCAGTCTTTTTTACAATCACCCCCACTAGCTGCATTATTCTCTTTGGCCTAATGAGTTTCATTGATCATACACAATGAGCTTGAAAAGCATGAGGGCCAATTTTATTGCAGAAGGAAAACACAACAGTTCGGAAGCCGTGGGCTTTTAGTACCTGCAACATGTGGGTTTTCCCCGAGCTGTGGGCTGATAACTTGAGTTTTTTGTTGGCAGCAAACAGGTGATAATCAAAGCTTGACTATGCTTTAAGGTAATTTTCTGAGAGGCTGCATCAGGACCAGCTCTTGGACCATCCCAGAAATAAGAAATCAGGCAAACCATGCTCCATGTTGCTGTTAAGAGCTGTGGAGCTGCCAGGAGAGTTCAACAAGGCCAGGTGCAAGGTGCTGCACGTGGGTCGGGGTAATCCCAAACACAAGTACAGGCTGGGCAGAGAGTGGCTCGAGAGCAGCCCTGAAGAGAAGGACTTGGGGGTATTGGTGGATGAGAAGCTCAATACGAGCCGGCAATGTGCGCTTGCAGCCCAGAAAGCCAACCGTATCCTGGGCTGCACCAAGAGAAGCGTGGCCAGCAGGTCGAGGGAGGTGATTCTGCCCCTTTACTCCACTCTGGTGAGACCCCACCTGGAGTCCTGCATCCAGCTCTGGAGCCCCCAACATAAGAAGGACATGGATGTGTTGGAGCGGGTCCAGAGGAGGGCCACAAAGATGATCCGAGGGCTGGAGCGCCTCTCCTGTGAGGACAGGCGGAGAGAGTTGGGGCTGTTCAGCCTGGAGAAGAGAAGGCTGAGAGGTGACCTTATAGCAGCCTTCCAGTACCTGAAGGGGGACTACTCTAAAAATCACAACACAAGTGCACCATGATTGCCAAAAGCAGACTGCTCCACAGCTAAACTCTCTTCATTTTGACAGTCATATCACCCTCGGGTCTGGCTGCAAAGAAGACCCAAAGGAGAAGGGTCTGTGCTGTTGTTCCTCTGAAGAAGAAGACGGACCCAAATTGCTGTACTTGTCCACAGGAATGATCCATGCTCACTTGTCACACTGAGCAACACCAGCCCGGGAAGCCAGGTTTAGACCCAACCAGGCTAAGCAACAAGAGATCTTTCTCCTGTTTCAGAGGCTTCCCATCACAACCAGCTCCTTGACAACATCGTGACCAAAAAGAGTGCTAGATGATGCCCATGATGCACTGCCAGCTGTGGACCAGCAGAACTGGGAAGCCACTTCCTTAGGCTAAGGCACTGCTGAGGATTTCACTAGAGCTACAAAATGCTTTTGCTAGCTTGCATCACTGAACACCTGTTTTCACTAATTCCGAGCTACCTGTCCCTCATTTCTCTCAGAGGCTGTATACACGAAAAGGCGCATCTCCTTCCCCACAGATGACACGAAGAAGCTGTACACAGCTCTGAGACAGTGACCCATCACTGACATTTAACACCACAAGAAAGGCTTTGCGCCATTACCAGGCATGAATGAACTACCTTCTGTAGGTACTTTCCATTCAGGCAGACAGTCTCTCTTCATGCCTTTCTGACTACAGTGAAAGGCTGGAGCGATGTCAGTCGGTGCCCACCCATGTCTATTTAGAAGTGATGAAGTGAAGCACAATTAAAAGGCACTGGGACATCCTCATGGCTAAGAACACTGAAGGAACAGAGATATCTTCATCCAGTGATGAGCAGGCAAAGGCCATTCAGAACACACATTTGAGTATACTTACTGCTGCATTAGTGTTTGGAAGGTTTGACAAATCTGATGAATGCAAACTGAAACTAACAACCAATCTGTGGGGGCTTTTTTCAGCTTGGGGCACAAGGAGTGGGGGTGGTAGTGTTTGTTTTAAATAAGTACACAACCTGCATTTTTCACAACTTAATGCTTCTGTTCTCAGTAAAACTATGCTATGACCTCAGCTTCTAAGAAACTGGTCGATAAACATTTGCCCAAATAGCCCCCGAAATCATTTAGGTAAATATTTGCATATTTGCACATTTACTTTAAAATGAATCTTAGAAAATTGCCCATTGCTATTTCTCATTCCCATATCAAGTACAATTTCAAATGATCTTTTTTCCTTCCATTATCAATGCAAACAGAAAGTTTAATTGAAAAAGAAATACATTAAAAAAAATAAAAATAAACAAAGATGACAAATACCAGATTGTCATCTGCCACATGTAAATATCTACCCAGAAAAAAAACCCCAAACTTTTTTATTTCTGCTGGATGCGTTTCTTTGACCTTCTGTTTTAGGGTCCCCTGTGTCACTTCGTGGTTTCCAACACAAAATTGCAAAGAGACTCCAGTAGCTAAAATGAAAAACAGTGCTACATTTTCACCAGCAGTCTGTTACTCTGGCACGGAAATGTCAATTATTGATCTGAGGAAAGACAGCACATACCTCAGTGTCCATTTTCAAGCAAAATTCAGATAAGTATTTATTTCCCCAACTTGGTCTTTAAAAGTTTCAAATGTTTCAAGAGGGTGGGCATCAAAAGGACGAGGCCAGACTCTTTTCAGTGGTGCCCAGCGACAGGACAAGGGGCAATGGGCACAAACTGAAGCACAGCAAGTTCCATCTGAACATGAGGAAGAACTTCTTCACTCTGAGGGTGACGGAGCACTGGGACAGGCTGCCCAGAGGCGTTGTGGAGTCTCCTTCTCTGGAGATATTCAAAACCCGC